TTGTCTGTGTTCCTCGGGGTTCAAACCAAGGTCTACAGCCCTTGGCGCCAACATCTTCCGGTGGCGACGATGGTGAACGGCTCTGTTTTCGCTCGACTCGCTCGAAAAAGCAGGCCCCAGCTGCCGCCAATGTAATCATAGATCCTTCGGAACCAGCATGGAAAGCCTTTTTCGAGAACTTGCACATATCAGAGGCCAAGGAGTTGGTCTGGAAAGCATGGACTCTGACACTGCCTTAGCGGTCCTTCGGTGTCAGTTGTTTAGCGTTTGCGCCCAATTAAACACGGTCTTTCTTCACGCGGTCTTATTGAGTTTTGGTTGGGTTTTGCCTGTATGCGTAAACAATCTTGCTGCCTCCTAAACGGAATGCCTGGTAGATGTGGTGCACCAGCGCGGGAGTTAGATCAGGGCACGACAGGCGTTATTTCGTTTGCGCCTCTATAACAAATGCCCAGCATGGTGGGAGGGGAGTGGTGGCACGCGTAGATGCAGGTTCACACCATGCCAACCACCTGCGCCCGATGGCGTCTCCGGTTTTATTGATTCTGTTTTGTCAAGGGGCACAGGTGGACAGCAGAGGAGGAGGCGCAGTGGAGGCAGCGTCAGCCTCATACCAAAATAAGTTAATTTCTATGCAAGTCACCGGCCTTGTTCCAAGATGTTGTTGAGCACACGGCGGACCTTACCGGATAGGATGGTTGATCTCCGCCACAGTGGGCAACCCCTTAGTTGCGTTTGTAAATAGGATGTGAAACATGTGTTTCGTTTATTTTTACTGTACGAGTTAATTCCATTCAGTGTCTTGCGTCCTCCTAGTCGATGATTATCAGTTTCAGTTGCTTATAAGAATACGGTCAGGAAGTAATTATGCTTCCCCTGTGAGCTTGAGAGATCTTGGCTTTTGTTGTTTGATAGCGGCCGCCCATCGTTTTCTGTGAATTTCATCAAACAAGCAACTTAAATGGAAGCTCACTAATTGGTGCTGACGTAAGTAACCATCTACTGAGTGGGTTCATCAATTTAAGTCCCTTGTGATTCCTGTGCGTTGTTTTCGGTTTCAGTCCAAAACTGAGCGAATGTAACAATCTAAGGTCAATGGCTTTAACACGCGCACAATTGTTTTCGATGTCGGTTAGCGAAAACCAGTAGAGCAGAAAGTGCTCCCTCTTGAGCATGCATCATCCCCTCTCATTCAAAAACCCTTAAATGGACAGACGAATACGAGAAAATCACAGTTACCACAGATGTCAGACTTACTAAGGCCGGAGTTCTATATGCGCCAGCCCGTTAACTTCGCGTGTGTTCAGGAAACTTGTTCAAGTTCCTCTCTTAGTCTTTCTTGCACTACATTTCAGCAAGGGGGGAAATGCAGTAGCTCTGCGCCACCCGTCACAGCAGCTCACGGGATTGCAGTTCTCGGCCTGCCTCTGTGCCAGCCAATCGTTAGTGTCATAAGCTGCTATTGCCCAAGATATTAATCAAGCGACCAGTGAAACACTCCGCATTCCGCCCACTTCACGAGAGCGAACAGACGCGCGCGCAAGCCCCGAACTTGCCGCGCGTTGGGGGGCGGCGGGCTCAGATCACTACTACATTTCTGTACAGAATTCACAACTAATGAAGGCTTCCCTTCTTTCACAGAACCGTATAATATCTACGGAATAACCATTCACTATCATGATGACTATAAATGCTTACGAAGTTAGCCAATAAAGAACTTTAGTGAAAAATTGTGCTCTTATCCAATTTGAATGTCAGTTGACCAAATAAATAATCGCATCAGACGGACCAAACGTCAGGCATGCATATGTGGTCAAAGGTCATCGGTTATTTCATATACTTTTAATGTTTTTGCAGAAAATCTGGCGTCGGCATCATTTTAGTCACACTCACGGCGGTTGCAAGATGTAGAATACGGGTCCACTAGTGCTTTCTACTCATGTCTCTGATGATGAATCCACGGTGGATCTCGAAACGGCAGGCGAATAAAAGTGTTGTCCCAGCGATCGAGTCGTCTTCTTCGCAGATGTACAGTAGATTGCATATCTGATGCAAGGTTGGGGATTGGAGGATTTAA